ATACCGCGAATAAATAATGCGTAAGAGTCAACATTATTTTCCTTCTTGTTCGATAGAAACTCCGTAATTTCACTGTGCGTTTAACTTTTTATCATCGATATTGTCTGCACAAAAAAAGGGAATCAAGAAAAACAAATGTTAACAACATGCTGACATCTTGACAAATGCTTCATGCATTTATAACATGACTTTTTAAATTTCAAGGCAGTGTGAAGTCCTACAACTAAAACCAAGACTTCACACAGTTGTATATTATGATGAAATAAATAATATTTACGACAACAAAGTTGAAAAAAATTTCATTTTCATTGATTTACAATTGAAAAAAGAAACAACTGTTTTTCCCTTGCATTTATCTCATCATCCTCACGCTCATTGATAAAATGAATTGCTAACCTTTAGTTGATGGAACACGTGTACTATCAATCTTGATCTAAATGAAAATCTTTAGAATTTCAAATAATCAAAATTTCTTGCTTACCATTAATTCTCCTTTATTACGTTCTATATCGTTCAGTTTCTTCTGCAATAGAAATAATTAAAAAAAATATTATATTGTTAATAGAAAAATTCTACTTACTACAATTATATTTATACGTTGAAGAATTAATTTATGATCTGGTTCAGTACGTAATATTATCGATAACTAAAAAAAGATGAAGACCATTTCAAATGGGTAATCAAAATAATTAAATAATTGACTGACATGAATCAATTCTTTTGTTAAATTCTGTCGTGTTGCACTGTTGTTATCAATTGTAGCCATTATTAATTTACCTAAAAAACTAATAAACAATTAAAACATTCATATGTAATATGCTCACTTGTTAAAATAAAATCGATTAATAATAGAATGAAACGTTGAGGAGATGATGAAGAAAAGCTAAGTGAAAAAACGTTACTAAAAAAATCTAATTTTAATGAATAAACAAGAAAAAAAACTCTTACAGAAAAAGACGAGTTATTGTTTCAGTTCTTCTAATATGATTGTTATTGCATATACTATGGGGGCCAATAATTTCCCCCCCTCGTTATTTTTTTCATGTTTTGTCTATTATAAGAACCAATTAATTTCCCCGTCGCTATTTTTTTCTTGTTTTGTCTATATTTCTTTTATTTATTAATCTATTAACTGCAGTAAGGAAGTAGGAGTTGTAGTGCATCTTGTGACACACTGTTTCAGTAGCCCGTGCACATACTGTAATTGACTACATCGTCTGTTCAGTCTTTTTTCTCTTCCTTCTTCGTTCATATGTTCACATCCATGTGCTAACGTGTATATATATGGGATACATAACGACTGATTCAAATGAAATCAACAAAATAAATTCATCATCCATTGCATTTAAAATTTTGTTTGTTTTGAAGTTTTCTTTTAATCTTTAATAAGTATATTTATGATTACTCATAAGTATTATCAATACACACCCCAGTTCAAGCACAACGTCCTTAAAGAATATCGTCCTGGAGTTATTGGTTGTGGTTTTAAATCATTAGCCAAACGGTTTAAAGTTAAAGGTGGTCACAAGCTGATCATGGGTTGGTACAAACGATGGGATGGTACTATTGGTTCATTAAATCCGAAACCAAAACGTGGTCGACCACGTAGAATGACACCGCAAGAAGTTAAACAATACATTTTAGAATTTGTTGAATATATGAATCGTAAACGTGCACAAATTAATTACAACTCAGTGCAAGCACATATTGAATCTCAATTAAATAGAAAAGTACCAATACGTACCATTCGACGATATGGAAAATCATGTGGTTTAAAATGGCGGAAAACTCGTCAGATGACAGCACGCGATGGTTTGGATATACACGAATAACAATCAGTTCATCATCTTATTAATGTATCATTTTTATGTTTTAGCTGATGATGATTATTGGACCGCAATTAGCGAATTCCGAAAATTATTACGAGAAATAAATAAAGATCCGTTAATTTTTATTGATGAAGTAGCAATCTACTCCACCATGATTCCACGACGAACTCTCGTTGCTCCTGGTCAACAACCGTTGCTATTAGTACAAGAACTTTCAGCATATGCCAAAAGGTTTGATTTTATTGCAGCTATTAATGGTTCACAACCAATTGCATGTAGAACATTTACTCCTGAACAACGTGTTAGTCTTCGGGTTAAATGTTTTAGACAAAAAGTGATCAATCAATGGATAACTGATGTATTAGCACCAGTAATCAATCAATTAGGTATTAAGAACTTATATTTAATTTGTGATAAAAGTTCCAGCCATAATCGAGTTAGTATGATGCAAGCATTACGTGCTGGCAAATGTTATCGTGTTAAAAAAAATCTTCATATGCCAACGGGAAGTGCCAAATATTTATCACCATTAGATAATCCACTCTGGCATTCTTTTAAAGAAACCATTCGAAATAAACATCCATTAATTTTGCTCGATATACCTGCTGTATTATCCCAAACATTCTATTCTTTATCAAGATCACAAATTCAAAATGCTTATCGTAAATGTGGCTATGAATATGGGATTGATGACTATTACGATCGACCATAATGATTTTTTATGTTTTTTATTATAATCTAGACGTGGATGTGTAGTATATGCGAAAAGAAAATGAATTTCTTTTTTGATATTTAATATTTTATGCTCTAAACTAGGTCTGTTGTTCCAGGGTAGTATGCCACAAGATGTATTACAACTCATACTTCTTCTCTTAAGTTAATAGGCTAATGAATAAAAGAAATATAGGCAAAACATGAAAAAAATAACGAGGGGGGAAAATTATTGGCCCCCATAGTATTACCAGAAAAATTCAGTAATCAGCTGAATTTTGAATAATCTTTCTTCGATACATTTAGAAAAAAACTCTTATGTTTAGAAAAATATTCGATTCATTAATAAATAAGATTAAGTCAATAAAAACTAGACTAAAAAGATTCATTTAAATCAAATGAAATCTACTATGGTTTGTATATTTAAGAAAAAAGAAATGATAGATAATGCATTCCACTCGTAAATCTATTTGAGAATAACGATAAGCCATTAATATTCCAAAGCTGTAGAAAACTATTGAAATAAGACCTGCACCAATTTGTGCACCAACATAATTCTGTTTTGTACCAGTCGAAGTAGCACTTCCAAAAACTGAATTAGTCCAACTAATCACTCTGAGAGCCTGTAAGATTAATGTATAATATTAATGAAAAACAGATTCTTCGAATATATTATATATGGATTAGTGCTGAACGTTCTACAAAAGTATGGATTTAGTCAAATTATTTCAATTTGATTTTATCTCTTCTGTTGTCTGAAATTATGTTAGATTTCAGTTCAAGAATGCTTCAAAACAGAATAGTTTTTCTTGCTAACGCCTCGCACAGTGTTCGTTCTTTAGACAATTTGTTTGCCGTTATTTATTTGGAAAAACAAAAAAAATCTATTTTTTTTGGTATTATCGTTGAATCATAATCATCAGGAGAAAAAAACTTACAAGACATACGCCAAGAATGATCAGAAGAATTTTTCGAGTTCGTCGTATTTCGGGATCTTGAGTAAGTGGCAATGTTTTGGCAACACCGATGTTAGAAGTAATCATCATACCGACTTGTTTATTTCCTTTGTTCAGATTGTATCTCGATGGTGAGTATTTTGGACTAAGCGCCGAAGAATACAGAGATAAAGTAAATAATAACAAGAGAAAAATAATATGAAAAAAAAATTAGACAAAATGATGATTTTTCTTTCTTCCCTACGATAACATGATGTACAGAATAGCGAAAAAAAAATTATAGAGCTTGCGCTGATGAGCAGTAGTCATGTATTCTATTCTGTATAAAGATAAATAGGCAATTAATCATTATCAACTTCATCAGGGAATACGAACGCTTACAATACTCAGAAAGATAAACAAAAGATTACTTGATATTTCAATCATTGTATGAAAAGATTGAAGAAATTTTTTCTTCTTTAGCTTAATGTAACATGCTTCATTCTTAAAACAGATTCTATTAGTATGTTGTATATTTTAACCATTGAAAAATTTTGCATTCTATCGCGAACCAAATATAAACTTTGTAACATTCCAATTAACAAGAATACAAGATAAAATATTATGAATCTTTAACACTACTCATATGATTGTAATGACGTATAATAATCAAACAAATCTTGTTTAAAAATCTAACATTTATAGAAATCGAAAAATAATTAAAAAAAATATACATTATTAAACATGCGAAATAATGATAATTATTGATTTTTACTGTATATATCTTAGAAATTACAGGATTTATTGCCGTAGGATTTAGGGGTGCATCCCTTTTCGTCCTCGCTCTTCCGAACATCCGGTTATGTGTCCGAATGTTCAGAATCGACTTTAGAGAAAAATATCGTGTTTCAGGATGTTCGGAATGAAAACCGTGCAGGTGTTTGGAACGCAAAAATACGCGATGTTCGGAACGAAAAATACATGATGTTCGGGTGTGGATGTGGGTGTGTGGGTGTGGGTGTGGGTGTGGATGTGGGTGTGTGGGTGCGGGTGTGGGTGTGTGGGTGTGTGGGTGAGGGTGTGGGTGTGGGTGTGGGTTGTGGGTGTGGGTGTGGTGTGTGGGCGGGTGGGTGTGGGTGTAGGTGTGGGTGTGGGATGTAGGTGTGGGTGTGGGGTGTGGGTGTGAGAGAAGAGAAGACAACACTCACACCCACACCCACACCTCACCCACAGCCACACCCATCCACACCCACACCCACACACCCAGACCCACACACCCACACCCACACCCTATTATAGTAGAGACACGCATTTGTTCTAGGGGGTTCTCTTTTCACAATGTCAGAAACTACTAGAACATCGTCATTGATCGGTGGCTGTCAATGTGGAATGATTCGTTATGTTGTTTATGGTCTATCAGTTAACAATGTTAACGTTTGTCATTGTCGTATGTGTCAAAAAGCTATGGGTATTGTATTCGGGATATTTGCTGAGTTTCGATCCGAAGATGTGTCTTGGACAAGAGGCACACCGTCCAAATTTCGGAGTTCATCATATGGTTATCGTCTATTTTGTTCAATGTGTGGCACTCCATTAGCTTTTATGCCAACTGATCAAACAAAAACTGAAATTACAGTTGGTAGTCTTGATCAACCAATAGCACTCGCACCAGTAGAACAAATCGGCATCGAAAGTCGACTTCCTTGGACTAGTACACTATTGGAATTACCAGCAAAAAAACGACACAAGAAAATAATGTTATATCAATCAATATCATCAATTATCAGCATCCCGATCACGAAACAGTAACATCAGATTGGTTAAATATGATAAAAAACAGAAATTGAAATCAGACTCAATCATTTTAGCATTTTTTACTAGTAGACAATATCTAGAAAAAGACACCCAATATTATACATATAATTCTACTTTTAGAAATATTCAATTTTCATCTTGATATGCAATTATTTTTACAATAAAAAAACTGTGAAAAAAAAGCAAACTATTATAGTTTTCCGTCTTTTTTTATAACATGTGTATATTGAATCCTTCTCCTCATTATTCAAAGGTTCCTCCAATAGAAACTGTGAATTGCTTGATATACTATAAATCCTTCTTATTCCAGACAAATTCCTTCCTGTTATATAAAATTTGTAGTCCCATAATAATTCTATGAAGATCATTTTCGGATAAGTAATGATAATCAAGGGTATCTCAGAATAAGTGATAATAAATTGTTTATGGTATTTTTCATACATTTTCTTGACATAGAGGGTTGAAAGTTTTATTACTTATATGAGTGAAGAGCACGGTCACAGTACCGTTTAGAGAAAAAAAATCGAAAACAAATTTCATTATAAAAGAAAACAAAGTATTGTTGAGGGTGGATGTGGATGTGAATGTGAGTGATCAGAAAACCAAGGGTGTAGGTGTTGATGATGAGAAGATCAAGACATCCACACCCTTTTTCTTCAATTTTAGATGGCAGTTTCTGATAAGTTTCTCCCGACTTTGACAAAAGTTCGCCTATAGGGTGTGGGTGTTGGTGGCGTCAAAGTCTTCGATTCACACCCACACTCTCTTTGAGTATTGTTAATTGTTGAGTTATTTTTTTACAAAAAAATACGATCAATTAGAAATCGATTCAATGAACTCTATACGATCTATTTATGTTTTTGAATAGATTTTTCATTAATATATAAAAATAAGATGAAGCACATTTTGACAAAAATTAATCAGGTTATGTGCTTTTGCGCTTGTTTTAGTCAAAATAAAAAAGAAAGGAGAATAACAAATTCGATTAAGTTTTAGACCGAAGAAAAGTCGAAATAATTTGATTATCAACAAATCTTTAAAAAAATATGTGCATATAATTAAAATGCTTCCGATTTGAAAACTATTTATCTAATAACAAAATTTATTTTCATCATTATTTAATTATTTTCAATAAATTCATCCTATTTCTTGTGATTATTATGAGAAATATCTTCAAATTATCGTCATCCATGTAAACATTCTCTCTCTTATGTGTCTCTGTATGAAAGAACAAAATAAAAAGACAGCGGGAAACAAAAGAACAGTATATGTTATTGGCGAATTAGTATTTTGAAAAATTTTGCTCGCGACTACACGATATCCAGTGTCTGTCATACTTTAGAGTAATATTAAATTTTTTGCACTCTTTCTAACAATACCACTTTTACTAGTTAGATATTAAGTCAACAATTTTTCAATCAGTTGATATGTGTGCTAGCAAATAGGATCGTACTACCGTCATCAAAAGCGAGAGAACGATAGAAAAAAATGTTATGCACGTGGACGCTACTAAGTAAATACAACTTTACCTATGTACTGCTTAATAGGTGACGACAGAATGACTGATTATAGAAAATGTGTGAGTCAGCAAATGACTGGTGTTCTGAGGTGATGGTACAATGCAGTAGCGAAGCTTTGACGAATGTGTAATGTTAAAAATTCCAATTCGATTTTTTCAAATATAAATGGTTGTTATTGAAGCAGAAATGGTAGAAATTTATTTAAAAAGATTATTGTGACGTTGTTGAATTTCTAGGCTTGATGATTAAGGATAGTGTTTTCTTCTATAGATAAGATGGCTCGTAGTTTGAAATGGATCCACAAGCAAATTCTCCTCTTAGAACAAAATGCTGAAATGACAAATTTCTCCATAACTCTGATAAGTGATGACAATCCATATCATTATCAAGCCACCATCCGTGGTTCAGTTGATAGTGCCTTCGAAGGTGGTATCTACTTGCTCGATATTCAATTTTCCAATGACTCTCCTTTCAAACCACCGAAAATAACGTTTTTAACAAGAATATTTCATCCGAATATTCGTGAGGATGGAGCATTTTATTTAACCCTAGTAGTACCATCCGGGGTCGTTTTTGACCCCCCTCAAAAATTTAAAAATATACTAGAAATATTTTGTTTTTCCTCAGTTTTTAGAAGCAACTAGCATCCCTTACGAATAGATATACGTTCTTGAATTTGAAAAGAAATACATTTGTTTTCCATATCATTACAATCTTTTGATTCAAGACGATGTCTTCAGTATACAACAAATATATAACAAGAAAGGAAAAAAAGTAAAACTTGCAAAATATAATTGAATGACTCATTCACTAATCTAAGTGAAGGGTGCGAGTGTGGGTGGGTGTGGGTATGAGTCTTTTCATTCATCCACACCTAAACCTCACCCACACCCACACCCACATCCACTCTGAAAACAGCATATTTCAACAGGAGACTGATCCAAAAGTAAAAACAATTACTTTATGAAAACATAGGTTGTCAGTATGGTGCGTAAAAAAGGACGGTACTACTAGGGTTAAGCAAGCTCTATGATGAATGGACTCCGGCTTGTACAATCGAAAAAATCCTTTTATCGCTTCAATCGCTTCTTATTTCACCTGACGCCGATGTGTCGATGAGCGGTAACAAAGAAGCAGCTCGACTTTATCTGCAAGATCGCAACAAATACGATCAGCATGTTCGTTTCTATACTCAGAAATATGCAGCGTGAATATTAAGCATTGTAATTGAATATCTTTTCGAAAAATAAATCAGAGATTTGTGTTTTTATATTAGAAAAAGCTAACAAAAACTAATAAAAGGGTAAGGATGTGAAAGTGAAGGTGTGGGTGTTAATCTTCAATTTATCCAAACCGACACCCACATTCACACCCACACCCTCACCCACACCCACACTAACACCCACACCACCCACACCCACACTCACACCCACACCCACACCACCCACACCCACACCCACACCCACACCCACACCCACCACACACCCACACCCATCCACACACCCACACCCACACACCCACACCCACACCCGCACCCTTAATATTATTTGAATGAATAATTACATTATAAATTTTTATTAAAAAAAAGAAATAAGAATTTTTCGTATTACTTCATAAAATCTATGTATAATGTTGAAATTATTAAAAGACTAAAATCTTCGATTGAGATTAGTCTTGATTAATAATTGTAAAAAGATATTTTATTGTTATTCTGATTGGTTAATTGTATTAACCAATAAAATATCTATTCTTCAATTTCGTTATTAATTAGTAATAATGATAAAAATAATAAAAATAAAAATATTAAGTCGATTTTATAGTATGTTTTTTATAAAGCGTTTTCTAAAATAGATTTCCTTAGTCATATCTTTTCGATTGTAACAAAGTGCATAGATGTTTAATGAACTATTTCGAATATTTTTAACTTCTTGTCATAAATTTTCGTTTCGTTTTTCATGCGTACACATACCATTACGTGTACTTGGAAGAAAAATCATTTAATAATCGTTGTATTTCGTATGTTATTCATTGTAGATCATAAAAATATCTTATTTTATAAATTTATTTCATTAAAAGAAAAATCCGCGCACTTTTTTTTGTCCATGTATGTATGGGTATAAATGACGAATTATTCATTCGAAAACGATAATAGAACAACAAACAGTATAGTTAAAAAGAAAAAAATGCCTAAACTTTGGAGTTGTATTGCTCCGAAAAGTGATGAAGAAAAAAAACGGGAACAAATTAATAAACAAATCAATGCAAAAATAAAACAAGATGAAAAACTTTATAAAGCCACTTATCGATTACTTCTTTTGGGTTTGTTTTAATTTTTGAATTGTTTTTTTTGTTCTCATTTAACATTTTTTTGGTTTCTTTTTCAATTAGGCGCAGGTGAATCAGGAAAATCAACAGTTGTTAAACAAATGAAAATTTTACATAATCCATTCACTCCACAGTATAATTTTAATTTTAATTTAATTTATTTTTAATTTAATTAAATTTTATTTCTAGAGAAAAACTCGATAAAATTCCGGATATTAAACGTAACATACGTGATTCATTAACCGTATGTTTTATTTTATATGAGTTGTTTTTTCAATATAACTTTTATATTGTATAGAGTATTTTACGTGCCCTTGATACAATTAATCCACCTGTGCGTTTAGAACATTCAGAAAATCAAGCACGTGCTACATATATATTAACAACAGCACATCAATTAGATTTTGATTATCCTTCAGAGTTTTTTGATCATGTGGAAGTCCTATGGCGTGATGGTGGTGTACAAGAATGTTTTCAAAGATCAAACGAGTATCAATTAATCGATTCCGCTAAATAGTTCGTAGTTTATAGTTTTGAAATAAATTTTATTTTGCCGTGTTCTTTTTTTTTCTTTCTAAATATTATAGTTTTCTCGATCGTGTTAATGAAATCAAAAGGTCAAATTACACACCCAGTGATCAAGTATGTATGAATCATTGAGATCCTTTTTTTTGTTTTTTTTTTTATAAAATCGATTATTCAATACAATCAAATGATTCATCAAATAGTTTGATGTAGAACTGAAAAAAAGTTTCGAAATTTATGCGACCACGAAACACTCGATGAAATAAAATGCAACAAGATTTGATTATTTTTGTCAAAATATTTTTTAAAGGATTTCGTTCAGATTTCTCATACATAGATCTTGTAATAAGATTAAAGTTTTTGTATACAAAGGATAACATCGAATATGATGGTAGATCTGCTACTCCGTTAGGTCTTTCGTAGCAGAGCCGGACAACTACGCGTACTCGTGGTGCAAATGATGGGTACTCATGTTCGAAATATCCTGTATTTGCTCAGCGTTATCTCGTAGGATTAACACATATTATGTATAGCATACAAACAATGTTCTAGATATAATATATTGCAGTGAATCCTAATATTTTTGTACTCATTCTGATGTGTTTTGGCATTTATGAATAATTT